GCATCATCATCATCATCAGCATCATCATCATCATCATCATCATCATCATCATCATCATCATCATCATCATCATCATCATCATCATCATCGGCATCATCATCATCATATGCATCATCATCATCAGCATCATCATCATCAGCAGCATCATCATCAGCATCATCATCATTATCATCATCAGCAACAGCATTAGCATCAGCATCAGCATCATCATCAGCATCATCATAAGCAGCATCATCAGCAGCAGCATCAGCATCAGCCTCATCACCATAACCATCATCAGCATCATCAACATCATCATCATCCTCTTCCTCATCAGCATCATCATCCGCATGGTCATCCGCATCCCCATCCGCCTCCTCCTCATCCTCGGCCTCCTCCTCCTCCGCCTCAACCTCCGTCTCCGCCGCCGCCTCCGCCTCCGCCTCCTCCGCATCCTCCTATTCCTCATCCTCCTCATCCTCCTCCTCCTCCTCCTCCTCCGCCTCCACCTCCGCCTGCGCCTCCTCCCCCTCCCCCTCCTCCTCCTCCTCCTCCTCCTCCTCCGCCTCCTCCTCCTCCTCCTCACCAGCATCATCATCATCAGCATCATCATCATCATCATCATCATCAGCATCAGCATCAGCATCAGCATCAGCATCATCATCATCAGCAGCATCATCATCAGCATCATCATCATCAACCGCATCAGCATCATCAGCATTATCAGCATCAGCATCAGCATCAGCATCAGCATCAGCATCAGCATCAGCATCAGCATCATCATAATCGTTCTCCGCATCAACATGAGCATCATCATCAGCATCATCAGCATCATCATAAGAAGTAGCAGCATCAACATCAGCATCAGCATCAGCAGCAGCACCATCATTAGCATCATCAGTAGTAGCAGCATCATCAGCATCGCCATCGTCATCAGAATCGTCAGCAGCACCATCATCAGCAGGATCAGCATCATCGACATCAGCATCAGCATCATCAGCAGCGTCATCATAATCAGCATGATCAACATCATCATCATCATCATCATCATCATCATCATCATCATCATCATCATCAGCATCAGCATCATCATCATCGCCAGCATCATCATCATCGGCATAGTCAGCATCAGAATCATCAGCTTCCTCAGCATAATCGGCATCATCATCATCATCATCATCATCATCATCATCATCATCATCATCATCATCATCATCATCATCATCATCATCATCATCTGCAGCAGAATCAGCGTCAACGTAGTCAGCATCATCAGCACGATCGGAATCATCATCAGCATCAGCAGCATCATCAGTGCCATCATCGGCATCATCATCAGCATCGTCATCTTCATCATCAGAATCGTCATCATCGTCGT